TTTATTTTATTATCTTATTTAAATTATTTAATTTTATTATCTTATTTATTATTTATTTTATTATCTTTATTTAAATTATTTGATCTATGAATATATTTTAACTTAAAAATTATTATTAATATAAACTTATATTATATTATATTAATATAAACTTATTATTATAAAATTATAAAAAAATATTTTATGCAAATGTTTTATTAAAAAAATTTTAATGCTTTGTTTTCTTTAATATATTGTTTTCTTTGTAAAATTTTAATGACTATATATAGATTGAATATAAAAATTATTTTAAGCTTTATTATAAAATATTAATTATAAAATATTAATTTCAGAAATTATATTGCAATTTCAAACAATATTATTACTTCAATGTTCCGAAATTCAAATAAGTATATAATAAATATTCAATACAAAAATTATGCATAAATCTTATTGTTATTATGTTATTTCAAATTTTTAATAAATATTTTTAATATGATATTTGCATTTTTTATATTAAATATTTATCATTAATATCATTAATATTTAATTTTATGAACACTGTGTTTATTAAGATATATCGGATTTTTCATATATTCTTGAGGACTGGTTCACGTAGACTTAGGTCCTTATCGATTTAACCTACTTCTTTCTATAGGAAGAACCGTTATCTCAATTTTGGTAGAATTTTTTGAAATATTTTAATGAACATAATTTATTAGAATTTTTAAAATTTTTAAATTTTTAAAAGAAATTTAATTCAATATATTATACATAATATACTGTAAAAAAAAATATAAAATGGAACTTTTAATGACATTTTATTTGTTAAAATCGATTATTAAATCATTGCACATAAAATTATCTCGTTTAATGATAACATTAATAACTTGCTATCATCAATAAAAAATGATAACATACTTTTGGTATTAATGAGAAATGTTCATAATGAAGTGTTTCCTCTTTTTCTTTACTTGAAATTATAGTTGACTAACTGTACATGAAAAACTGTTAATCAACCTGAAATCATAAAAGATATTTGCACACAGCTTAACTAAATTTTTTTCCTCGTTATTTTACTTTTATATTTTCATATTCTCTGTGTTTCGAAAACTAAACGATTCTTGTTTTATCGATTATTTTGTTTAAATCATTATATAGCATTATATTCATTAATTCATTAAATGAATCTTTACGAAGGTTCTAATCTTCTTAATACGATAACAATACCGATTTTTATGAATATTATCATTTATCATATTCGATTGATTTATAACAATACTAATGACAATATTGAATGCAATAATAATCGATATTATCCATATCATTATTATATCATATTAACTGTTAAACATATTCTAAAAAAAAAAAATAATGGTGTATGTTGTGCAATGAATTTTAATATTTGATTATATTAAAATATAATTTTTGATTGAAAAAGATCTCTTTACAATATTTTTATCGATTGTTCTCTTCGTATTTAAACGTGTTCTTATTTTGTATTTCTGCAATCAAATGATATATTTATTGATTGGCAAAATACAATTTCAATAACAAAGAAAACACATCATTTTTACAGAATTAAATTTATTTTTTTGTTAATAATAATTTTTACAATAATTATTAATGTATTACGACTATTAATATCATTGATATTATCGTTTATTTATTTAACATTGCTATTATCGTTGACATTACCCAATTGTTATAATTTTTTGTTATCATTTCATTATATAAATTTTTATTTTGACTAAAAAATTTCATTATGAAATTGATGTATTTTGAATGAACAATTTATATTATATATTCTATTATTATACTTTTATATCATTCGATCATTTTATAATCGATTAATAAGAAACTTGCGCGAGAAATTAGAATCTATGCTCTTTCTTGTTTGTCTCGATCTACAGGTTTTAGAAAGTCCATCTTTCAGATGATCGTACACATACGCATGATCTTCTGTATAATTTAAAATTGCCCGTAATTACAAATAATGGAATTTTGCAACAAAATTTATCGAAATCGATGATTGAGTTTTAATCGAGAGGATTTTAATCAGAGAGTATGCATTTTAATCAAATGCATATAGAAATCTTTATTTACAGGTGGTGATAGTGGGTAATGGAGCTGTAGGGAAATCGTCAATGATCCAAAGATTTTGTAAAGGTACTTACACAAGGGATTATAAAAAGACGATTGGTGTGGATTTTTTGGAACGGCAGATCGAGTAAGTAAAAATATAATAAAAAAAATCTTTTATCATTATTTTTTTTAATAAAACTTTAAGATTAATTATAAATAAAATGGCCAGCTAAGTTTGACACTAAAAATACCAAGAACGATGGACTATATCAAGAGCTTTTCTTTTTATTATAATCAGATTATTGCAGAATCTTTATTAGGTCAATCGAGAAAAATTTGTTTAAACGAACTTCATGATTGGTAACAGTGTCTATACCTGTTTGGATGATAAAAAATGTTTTATCCATTTTGTTAACCTTGATTGCTAATCTTGATGGAAAAAATTCATCATAATATTTTTTTATACTATTTCACAGGCTTTTTTTGCATATAAAACATAGTTGGTATGTAAAATGCATAATGAAATTCGAAATTCCTTTGATCAATCGAAAACTCGATTTCATTTATTTGTTGTTGTATTATTTATCATAGATTGAAGTGATTGTTTTTTCAGAAAATTTTTATCTACGAATATGAATGGTCAAAATAATTACATTACGCATGAACACACAATATAAGAGAAAAATCATAAAGAATCGAATATTTATTTTTAGAAAGATTTTTATATCTCTCTATACATTCGAAAAAATTATCTCACAAAGGAACAAGAATATTAATATCGAACATGGGAAGTAAAAATTCGTTTTCACGCTACGTCGGTCGATAATTAAAGACCATGTTAAAGAAAAATGTATAATAGGCATATTCTGCTTTACATGTATACTTATATGTTCTTCAAGTTAATTGCATTATATGGAAAAATTATCTTCTCTTCTCGTTAATTACGGATTTATCATTTTCGAAAAAACTAATGAAACGATTTTCTATTATTCTTTAGCTTCAATTTCAATTATGAAAATTATTATTAAAGTTAATAATATATCTAATGAAACCGTTATTGGATTTATTTAACATGACATTTATAATATGTTTTCATTATTGTTTCGATTATTAAAAAGAAATTATTTTTATTTTAATAATAAATATATTCTAAACGTATGTTTTTCTTATAAATTTTTCTAATAAATTGTTTATCTTATAAGAATACAATTAAACGATAAATAAATTTTATATTATTTTCTATTTATTTCTTTGAAATTACGAATCGTTCTTCAAATTAGTCCACGATTGCACGAATATTTTAATAAAATTAAGTAAATCTTCAAAAATTCTTATACAATCGAAATTACATTACAAATTCATTATTTCTTAAATGTTAAAACATATAGACAAACGACAAAACATTTTTCTAAGAACAAGCGTATGTTTTTAAGTCCCTGAGAAATGCGCATGTTATTCGTCTCGACACGAACTATCGTGGGATACTTCCTGATGCACATTTGCTCCATGATAATCGTGGTCGCCTTTTTAAGAAGATTTTAAACTACTTTTTGCACCTTCTTTCTTCCAGCGCAATGCATGAAAATAAAATAAAAAACAATCGGAAAAAATTGGCAAATCGTATAAAAGTCTCTAAACAAAACTAATTATAACGAAACAATTTAACAAATAATCCTTAAAATATTTTATTATGGTCGACAGATCTAGTCAAATGATAATTTGAAATCATTGGTTTCAGTTCGTATTAATGAAAGCACTGTAACTGTAAATCTTTTAAATAAGTAATGGAATCTTTTAAGAATGGAAGGTTGGAATTAATCCGGAATAAAATCAAATAACGGAATGCTAAGACGCTCAATCTTGCGCAAATCTTTATGGACTCGTTTGAAAGAAACGCGGTCGAGTTTTCTCTTTTCCCTTTTCACACATCTTAAGTAGATCGAGGATTTTAAGTCAGACCGGTATTTTGCAACAAATATCGGTACAAACTTTTAAAATTTTAAAATTTTCCAATACTATGCATATATTTCGTAGATTTTTTTTTTTTCGAGAAAAAAAAAAAAGGAAATATTACAAATTCATACATATACATATTATATTATATATTTCAAGTATAATATACTGCTATCAATGACCTTGGTCACGACAGCCTTTCATTCAACTTTATTTAATTTGCACATTTAACATGTACATATATTCATTCAGTTGAGAAATATTTTACAGCCAAATTTATATGCACGTCCTCAATCCATGATTTTTACACACAAATTCTATGACTCGATAACATTACGAAAAACAAAAAAAAAAAATATATTATTTTTTTATTAATAAGATATGGAATACTTATTCTACATTTTATTATCTAATATTTAATATTTATTTTTCGTTTCATTATTTAATATTTAAATATTATTTCATATTTCTTTTTAATACATTTTTATTTACCTAAAAAAATATCGTTGATGAAAATACATGCCAAAAGAAAAAAGATACGTATATAAGTTCTGTAAGATACTAACAATGATATTTAGTAGCCGTCGAATTGAACTTAGCTGACAGAAATTCTTCAAAATATATATAGCACACTAGGAATGCTATGTAAAAAGCTATATACATATAAATCATTCCATTGTCCGTTCTGATTTACGAAGCAGTATTACATCTATGCTATATTTTCAGAAGTTTGAATGTGTTGTAAATCATTTTAATCGGTTCACAAAATATCAAGAAGATAGAAAACTAGAATGTCGTCAAAATATAATAGAAGTTCATTTATTAAAAATTTTAATTAATATCTGATCAATTTGAACTTTTATTGATTGAATTTAATTATTCACTTCTATTATTTGAGTAAAAAATCATATATAAAAGGAAGAATAATATAGATAATTTAGAAACGAAATTGATCAATTCCATTTTAAAAATTCTTAATTTTAAACCCAAAAATATATGATTTAATTTCGAAAAGTTTTCCAAATAACTTAAGAAAAATAAGAAAAATAATCTTGTTGTTTTATAGAGTGGATGGAGAGGATGTAAGACTGATGCTATGGGATACTGCTGGTCAGGAGGAATTCGACGCAATCACTGCGGCTTATTATCGCGGCGCCCATGCCTGCGTCCTCGCTTATTCAGCGACCGACAGAGATTCCTTCGACGCCATTCCTTCGTGGAAACAGAAGGTACGACTCTCGTGCACACGAGACATACACACTATGCTGAACCGGTGCAAGCACGTTTCCGTAGGTAGTCACGACGGATGGTGGAATGTGAAAGTGAAGGTGCCATTAAAGCAGGGGGCTGATTTTAAGTCGCTCCACGGCTGAATATTTCTACAGGTAGCAACACACCGGTCTTAGATTGTTTTGCGAAAATACGATTCTTAGAATTATGTTCTGTCTAGAGGAGAATCAATTATAGATATAAATTTATATTTAATGAGATTTATAGCGCCTTTTATTCTTAATCTTATTTCATTGGGACATTATACCGATGATGATTTTATTTTTTGACTATCCTATTGCATATACTTTAGTCAATATATTCTATGTAAATAATTATTAAATTATTTTTTGAAATATTAATCATATTTTATTTTTATCAAATAAAAATAACGTACATTATTTTTAAAATATTATATAAAACAATTTATAATAAATATACTTGTAATAAACATATAATCTTAAAATAACTTAAATGAAAAATTGAATTTCTCATCTGATAGTTATATATTTTTTAGTTTCCGTCTACTATCACTTAAAACGTTAGTAGAGAGTTAGTAGAGAATTATTGGCGTATATAAGTATCATGATGATGTCTTAAAGACATATATTTTCTTATAAAATCATAATTTTATTACGGTATTTCTTAATTATTTCTTTCTTGTGATTATATTTTGAATAAAATAATATAGTATTTCAAATATAATATAGTATTATAATATAGTATTCAAATAAAATATAGTATAATTTAAATTAATCTTTATATCTGATAATTAATTTAATTTAATATAAAAATATTATTTTTTTTATTATCTGTAATTTAATATCTATATTCTAATATAAAAAACATAA